CCTCCTCCTCCTCCTCCTCCTCCTCCTCCTCCTCCTCCTCCTCCTCCAATCCCAATTATTCCTCTTCCAATCCCAAATTTCCATCCTCCTCCCCCCCCCTCGCCCTCCCCCGTGGCACAAGCCCCTCCCCCTGTCCGCAGGCCTCTCGCGATTGGCCGGCCCGGCGGCGGAGGCGGGGCTGGCGGCGCTGGAGGCGGAGCTTGGCCGAGGCCCCGCCCCCAGGGTGGGGCTGCTGGAGCTGTGCCGCAGCCGGCGCTACCGGCAGCCGCTGATCGTCACGCTGGGGCTGCAGCTGGCGCAGCAGCTCTCGGGGATCAACGCGGTGAGAACGGGGCGAAAACACCCAAAACTGGGAAAAATGGGGGGGAAATGCCCAAAAGCGGGGAAAAACGGGGGGGAAATACCCAAAATCGGAAAAAAACGGGGCAAAAATCATGAAAAATGGGCGTGGTTTAAGGGAAATGGGCGTGGCTATTAACATTACTCTGGTGCAGCAGCTCTCAGGGATCAACGCGGTGAGAACAGGGCGAAAAACCCCAAAATTGGGAAAAAACGGGGGGAAATACCCAAAATTGTAAAAAAACGGGGGGAAAATACCCAAAATCGGAAAAAAACGGGTCAAAAATCCTGGAAAATGGGCGTGGTTTAAGGGAAATGGGCGTGGCTATTAACATTGCTCTGGCGCAGCAGCTCTCGGGGATCAATGCGGTGAGAACGGGGCGAAAAACCCCAAAATTGGGAAAAATGGGGGGAAATGCCCAAAATGGGGAAAAAACGGGTCAAAAATAATGAAAAATGGGCGTGGTTTAAGGGAAATGGGCGTGGCTATTAACATTGCTCTGGCGCAGCAGCTCTCGGGGATCAACGCGGTGAGAACGGGGCGAAAAACCCCAAAATTGGGAAAAAACGGGGGAAAATGCCCAAAATTGGGAAAAAACAGGGAGAAATTAACCAAAATCGGGAAAAAACGGGGCAAAAATCATAAAAAATGGGCGTGGTTTAAGGGAAATAGGCGTGGCTTGTATGAAACGGGCGTGGCTTGTGGGAAATGGGCGTGGCTTGTGGGAAAACGGGCGTGGCTCTGTGAAATGGGCGTGGCTTGTGAAGAGAGGGGCGTGGCCTTGACATTCCACCAATCAGGACCGCCGGGATTGGGGCGGGGCTTAACAGGGCGTGGTCAGAAAGGGGCGGAGCCAGAGACTGAGGAAGGGGCGGGGCTTGGAGGAAGGGGCGTGGCTAAATGGGAGGTGGGCGTGGCTTTAGGGGCGGTGCCTAAAGGGGCGGAGCCTCGTGGGCGTGGCCCTTTTTGGGACAGGGATTTTGGGGCGGGGCTTCCTGGAGGTGTGGCCAATGGGGGCGTGGCCTGATTGGGCGCGTCCTGCTGACCACGCCCCCTTTTCCCGCCCCAGATCTTCTACTATTCGACGTCCATCTTCGAGGGGGCGGGGCTTCAGGACCCGGCCGTCGGCACCATCGGGACGGGCGTGGTCAACGTGGCGGCCACCGCCCTGTCGGTGAGCCACGCCCACTGCCACGCAGCCAATGGGGGCGCGGGGAACGCCCGGTGGGCGTGGTCAAGCGGGGCGGGGTCTCGTTGTGGGCGTGGTCTCTCGGGGGTGTGGTCCCGGTGGGTGGAATCTCAATTAGGGTGGGCGTGGTCTGGGTGGGCGTGGTCTCACAGGTGAGCGTGGCCCACGGTGGGTGGAGTCTTCAAGGTGGGTGTGGTCCTGAAGGGGTGGGGTCTCATTGGTGGGTGGGGTCTATTGGATGGGCGTGGTCGTGGTGGGAGGGGCCTCATGGTGGGCGTGGTCGTGAGTGGGAGGAGTCTCGTGGTGGGCGTGGTCATGATGGGCGTGACCTCATTGTGGGAGAGGTCAGAAGTGGGCGTGGCCTCGTGATTGGCATTGCAATTGGGGCGGGTTCTCATGGTGGGCGTGGCCAGAATTGCCTCGGGGGTGTGGTCACAAGCGAGAGTGGCATCATGGTGGGCGTGGTCACGAGTGGGGCTAACTGATGGTGGGCGTGGTCACAAACCATGGCTTGGGTGGGCGTGGCCACGAAGGGGAGGGGTCTGACAGATGGGCGGGGTCTCCTCGGGGGCGTGGCTTCTACAGGGGCGTGGCTTATCGGTGGGTGTGGCTTCCCCGTGGGCGTGGCTTCCCTGAGGGGTGTGGCTTCCATAATGAGCGTGGGTTCCCCAAGGGGCGTGTCCTCCCGTGGGCGTGGCTTCCATAATGGGCATGGCTTCCCCATGGGCGTGGCTTCCAAAGGGGCGTGGCTTCCCAAGGAATGTGGCCTCCGGTGGGCGTGGCTTCCCCATGGGTGTGGACTCTCAAAGGGGCGTGGCTTGCACATTGGGCGTGGCCTCCACATGGGCGTGGCTTCCACAAAGGGGTGTGGCTTCCCAAGGGGTGTGGCCTCACGTGGGCGTGGCTTCCCCATGGGCGTAGTCTCCTCTGGGCGTGGCTTCCCAAGGAGGCGTGGCTTCTCAAGGGGCGTGGTTTCCACAAAGGGGCGTGTCCTCCCGTGGGCGTGGCTTCCATCAGGGCGGGGTCCCACCAGGGGCGTGCTCCCCTGGGGGTGTGGCTTTCCCCAATGGGCGTGGCTTGGGGGTGTGGTCTCCCGGTGGGCGTGGCTTCCACGAGGGGCGTGGTTTCCACAAGAGGCGTGGCTTCCAGGGATGGGCGTGGTTTCCACAAGGGGCGTGGCTTCCAGGGATTGGCGTGGCTTCCACGAGGGGCGTGATTTCCACAAGGGGCGTGGCTTCCAGGGATTGGCATAGTTTTCCCGGGGGCGTGGCTTCCACAAGGGGCGTGGTTTCCACAAGGGGCGTGGTTTCCAGGGATGGGCGTGGTTTCCCGGGATGGGCGTGGCTTCCAGGGATGGGCGTGGCTTCCAGGGATGGGCGTGGCTTCCACAAGGGGCGTGGCTTCCACAAGGGGCGTGGTTTCCATGGATGGGCGTGGCTTCCACCGGGGGCGTGGTTTCCACAAGGGGCGTGCCCTCCTGGGGTGTGGGTTCCCAAGGGGGCGTGGCTCGGTGGGCGTGGTCGCGGGTGGGCGTGGTCTCGGGTGGGCGTGGCCTGGGGGCGTGTCCCCTGACGCCCCGCCCCGCAGGTGGTGCTGGTGGAGCGCGCGGGGCGGCGCGTGCTGCAGCTGGTGGGGCTGCTGGGCATGATGGGCTGCGCCGGGAGCCTGGCGCTGGCGCTGACGGTGAGCGGCACCCCGAAATCCACCCGGGACCCCAAAATTCATCTGGGACACCCTGAAATCCATCCCTGAGANCACCCGGGACCCCAAAATTCATCTGGGACACCCTGAAATCCATCCCTGAGAGCCCAAAATCCATCCTGGGACACCCCCAATCCATCCGGGACCCCGAAATTCATCTGGGACACCCCGAAATCCATCTGGGACACCCCAAAATTCATCTGGGATACCCCGAAATCCATCCCTGAGAGCCCAAAATCCATCCGGGCACCCCAAATCCAACCCGGCACCCCGAAATCCATCCCTGGGACCCTGAAATCCATCCTTGAACACCCCGAAATCCAGCCCTGGGACCCTGAAATCCATCCTGGCACCCTGAAATTCATCTGGGACACCCCGAATCCGTCCGGGCACCCCGAATCCATCCCGGCACCCCAAATCCGTCCGGGACCCCAAAATTCATCTGGGACACCCCGAAATCCAACCCTGAGAGGCCAAAATCCATCCAGGCACCCCCAATCCATCCGGGCACCCCGAAATCCATCCGGGCACCCCGAAATCCATCCTTGAACACCCCGAAATCCAGCCCTGGGACCCTGAAATCCATCCCGGCACCCCGAAATCCATCCCTGAGAGCCCAAAATCCATCCGGGCACCCCGAATCCGTCCCGGCACCCCGAATCCGTCCTGGCACCCCGAATCCATCCGGGCACCCCGAAATTCATCCTGGGACACCCTGAAATCCATCCTGGGACCCTGAAATCCATCCCGGCACCCCGAAATTCATCTGGGAGACCCCGAAATCCATCCCTGAGAGCCCAAAATCCATCCGGGCACCCCCAATCCATCCCGGCACCCCGAATCCATCCGGGCACCCCAAAATCCGCCCCGGGACCCCGAAATCCAACCCCGGGACCCCAAATCCATCCCGGGCACCCCGAATCCAGCCCCGAGAGCCCGAAATCCCACCCAGGACCCTGAAATCCATCCTGGGACCCCGAAATTCATCCTGGTGGGACCCCAAAAATTCCAAAAAATTTGAAAAAAAACTTGAAAAACAGATTTTTAAAAATGGAAAAAAAAAATCCAAAAAAGCTCAGAAAAAAATCGAAAAAAAATTTAAAAAATTTCCAAAAAAGATCTGAAAACCCCCCAAAAAAAAAATCGAAAAAAATTTGAAAAAAAATTTGAAAACAATTCGAAGATACTCGAAAAACAAGAGAAGTGAAGAGAAAATAGAAAAAAAAATTGGAAAAAAATCCGCAGAAAAAATAGGAAAAAATTCGAAAAAAATTCAAAAAAAATCGAAAAAAATTCGAAAAAAAATAAAAAAAACGGAAAAAATTAAAAAAAAATCGAAAAAGTACGAAAAAAATCGAAAAAAAATTTGAAAAAAAATTCGAAAAAAAATCGAAAATATTCCAAAAAAATCGAAAAAAATTCCAAAAAAATCGAAAAAAATTCGGAAAAAAAAACCAAAAA